GAACCGAAGTACATGTCCTTCAGATGTGCAGTGGGCGATGGTAGATTAATGGTGGATGTATGTGAGAAGTGTAAAGTTCGTAGAAAGTAGAAGTCACGATTAGAATTCTCGCACAATAATGTGCCTCGACGGGGAATCGAACTCCGGTCCACGAATTTCCGGTCCGCTGCAGAAGTCATGCATTAAAATTTGCGCACCTAATCGTCAGCCCTCGGTAGCTCAGTGGTAGAGCAGCGGACCGGAAATTCGTGGACCGGGGTTCGATTCTCTGTCGAGGCACATTATTGTGCGTGAATTCTAATCTTGAGTTCTACTCTCTACGAATTTATACGGGTTAAGAAGCGTTGCTTTACAAGTCCCGTTGGATAGTTGGTGGGAATATCAACATAACAATAATGATAGTTAATGGTTAATACTTTAACTATGAAAATAAGGACTTATCGTTTGCGTCGTTGTAGTCCCGCGATCCTCCTAGATGCACAGCACCCACAGTTAACAACAAATAATTCCATGGTATACTCCAGGTGTGGGATGGTGTTAAGTAACAAAGTGTAAGTGGATGAGTGCATCGTCCAACCGTCTTTTAAATACTGTTAGTGTCGGTGCAGAGACGACCGATTCTGGGAGAGCATTCTATGGTGACAGACACGAATGGCAAAGAAGTTTCTGCGGCACTCCAGATGACCGTATTGTTCTGCGAGTTTTAATGAGTGGCCCCTCAGGTTTGTATTGCTGCTGAGTTGCAGTAAAGGGCGGCACACATGATGTGATTCTCGCAGAATCAAGTATGCCATAGTCAGGTCGCCTCGTAGTCTGCGATAGCTCCCACTGAACAATCCCAGTCGTTGCAGCCTCTCCTTGTAGGAAAGATTGTGCATTCCAATTACGTTCTTAGATGCCCGGCGTTGTGGCTGCTCCAGTGCATTAATTTCGTATTTTAGCCATGGATGCCAGGCTTGAATTGCATATTCGACATGGGGGCGAACATACGCACTGAACATTTGTCGAAATACAGAGCTGTTTATTTGTCCAAACGCCGGCCTCAACAGTCCGACGTGTTGGTTCCCGGTCTTCGAGGCCTTTTCGGATTGCCTGGAGCAACCAGTTTATCTTGAATCAGGACACCCAAGTCACGTTCGAGAGTTGTTTGTTGCAGTACATCCGTCCCGAGTCGGTATGAGTAGCTGCTCTGATGTCGGATGGAAAGCACCTTGCATTTACTGACATTGAAATGCAATAAGTTTTGGGTCGACCATTGATAAACTGTATCTAAGTCACTCTGAAACACATGTTGGTCGGCGTTCGCCTGGATCCTGCGCCAGATCTTGATATCGTCGGCAAACATTAGGAAGTTTGAAGCGATTACTGTGCAAAGTCATTAATCAGCACCAAAAACAAACGCGGATCTAGAACGGAGCTTTGCGGCACACCCGATAAAGAGCTCCGAACTCTGACCATTAATTGCCGTTGAAGTAGAAAGTTGGCGATCCAGCTTAAAAGAGGGTCTCCGATCCCGTACTGCTGTAGCTTGAATAGTAGTATCCGATGGTCTAGACGATCGAAAGCCTTGGAAAAATCCAGGTAGATCACGTCAACACCTTCTCCAGCGTCAGCTGCCTCGGTCCAACTACTGCGTGCAATTAGTAAATTCGTTGTACATGACCGCTGTCGACGGAAACCGTGCTGTTCAGGAGTGATGAGGTTGCAGTTTTCCAGATAGCACACCAGTGCATCGGCGACTATGGATTCCATGACCTTGGAGAGTATAGGAAGAAGGGTTACTGGGCGGTAGTTGGAGGGATCAGTTCTGCTTCCACCTTTGTGAATCGGGTTTATTATTCCATGCTTCCACATGGCGGGAACTTGGTTCATGTCTAAGCAGTGCTGAAAAAACTGAGCTAAATGTCCTGCCAGTTGGTTTGCTGCTACTCCCAATGCCTCAGGGCGAATGGCGTCGACATCCGGCGAGCTGTGTTTGCGTAGAGAAGTCAGCTTTTGCAATATAGCCTCTGCGATAAAATTGATGTGGGTTAGTCATGGCGAGCAGAATTCAAAGCTTGGTAGATCGCTTGGTTGCAAGACTTTATGAAACGTTGGGGCGTATTGCATCTGCAGCGCGTTTGCAACTTCCATAGCCGTTCTTGTTGGGCCATCAGCCGTCTTGAGTGGAGGAAATCCTTGCCTCACCTTTCGTAGGCTATTAACGTGCTTGTACAGCAGTTTGTGGTTAGCACTGAAGGTTTTTGCCATGTTCTGCTGATAGGCGGTTTTGCCTTCTTTTAACAGTTGAGTGCAGTGGTTACGTTGGGCTACGTAGTTGTCCCATTTTTCTGGTGCTGGAGCTTCTCTGTACACTCGCTATGCTGCGTTGCGTACTGTCATCCATTTTCGGGTTCTGCTCCTAACTAAAGAAACTGATTTGCACTTATTGCAAGCTTTTATCTCTGAAGCCTGCGCAATCAGCTGACTGAATATTTTGACGAATTCGAGCCAGGCGACTTCCGTGGGTTCTTCTTCGAGGAAACACCATGTCGTGGCGCTGACTAGCTGGGCGAGTCGATCGTACCTTTTGATGGTTCGCACAGTATCATCGTTATCATTCAGATATTCTGCATAGCAGACGAAGTTGAAACTGATCACGGCGTGATCACTGCGACCCAACGGGCAGTCTAAAACCAACGCATCAATCATATGCTCCTCGTTGGTAAGCACAAGATCTAGCACAGATGGCCTGTTACCAGTTCTGAACCGAGTGGGCAAAGTGATGTGGTTGTAAAGATGAACAGTAGTTACTAGATCTTGTAGATCGGTTTTGAATTGTTCTCCGATCGTGGCAGGAGCTTCAAAACAATGTACGTTGAAATCACCCATGATAAGAATGTGAGTGTATTTTTGTTGTAAACTGCACCTTAAAGCAGCCGCTAGGTGGTAGTCGGTTTCGGGTGTTGATTTAGGGGCGCGGTACACCAAGACAATAAGGCAAGCGTCCCTGCCTTTTAACTGCAACCGGCACCAAAGAGAGTCGGAGGACTGCGAGTCTGAATCCTCCACGGCTTCGCACTGTAAGTCGTTTCGGTAGTACAGGATTACTCCTCCTCCTTTTGTGAGCCTATCGTTCCGGATCAGCGACATGCCGGGTAGCGACACTTCAGCGTCCGTCATTCCCGTGTGCAACCATGTCTCGGTGATACCAATGACATCATACGAGCCGGAAGCTTGGCGATCTTTCAGTTCAGCCAGTTTGTTAGAATGACTGAGCATTTGTATACAAGCAGGCCAGTTTCTCGGTCTCTAGGAGCCCGCAGAGAGGTGAAGCTGTCAAGTGTGGGAGAATGCCGACCGATGGGAGGTCGGCAGTTACTCGTTTTTTTTGATGGGACAATGATACCTCGTTTGCAACTTGATTCGGCCAAGGTGCGTCCCAGCCTTCGTTTAGACCTACGTCAGAGTCAATTAAAGCAGCAGTCAAATTACACTTCTGTACATTCGTCAGGATGCTTACTGCTTCAGTTGCTTTAATACTTGAGCTGTGCGAATTGTTTGCGACCTTTAACCGAATTTCGGAAGGAAGATGTTTCCGATTTCTCCGCCATCGATTCAAAACATCCTTTGCTTGTTGCTCTGACTGAACCACAAGTTTTAGGATTCTAGGGCCGCATCCTCTATAATTCGATGAGAGAGGTATCCTGGTGAGCGATAGTGCCACAACATTATCCGAAGAAATAGTTTCGCGAATGAACCGCCACTGTTCTAAATCGTGCTTTCCGGTATCTTGAACATCGTTAGAAGGATGTTCTCTCACGCCATGTATGAAGACTGTGTTTAGGCGGTCTTGATTGCTGTGCCCCTCTTCGGTGTTTCGTTTTGTTTGTCGCGCGCTCCAAGGGACATCAGGATAGATACGTCGGCCAAGGTGTGTCCCAGCCTTCGTTTAGACCTACGTCAGAGTCAATTAAAGCTGCAGTAAAGTTACGTGTTTGTACATTCGTCGGTATGCTTGCTGCTCCAGTTGCTTTAATATTTGAGCTGTGCAAAGTGTTTGTGACCTTTAACCGAATTTCGGAAGGAAGATGGTTCCGATTTCTCCGTCATCATTTCAAAACATCCTTTGCTTGTTGCTCTGACTGAACCACATGTTTTAGGATTCCAGGGCCGCATCCTCTATAATTCAGTGAGAGAGATATCCTGATGAGCGATAGTGCCGCCACATTATCCAAATAAAGTGTTTCACGAATGAACCGCCACTGTTCTAAATCGTGCTTTCCGGTCTCTTGAACATCGTTAGAAGGATGTTCTGGCACGCTATGTATGAAGACTGTATTTAGGCGGTCTTGCTTGCTGTGCCCCTCTTCGGTGTTTCGTTTTGGTTGTCGCGCGCTCCAAGGGACATCAGGATAGATACGTATCCCACAGGATTCGTGTTTTAGCGCGATTGCGGAGAGCAAAACGTTTTCTACGTCGGTGGAGGATTATAGTTACTCGAATAAGTCTGGGTTCACCATACTGTGGCGAGTTCGGAAAACGAGTAATTCGTAACAAGCTTATGGGCTTGGCTTTGATACTCATCTGCATACACAATGAGTTCCATTGGTCTTGGTCGTCTGATAACTTATCCCGCAATGTGATGGCGGTAGATTCCGGGACATTTGAGCATACAACAGTCCGGGAACTGTTGTGCTGGGGATCTGAACGCTCAAGTTGGAAAATTATCCACAGATGAGCTGCATCTGGGCGGCCAACATGGTATAGGCTCCCGTAATGATAACGGTGAGCGGTTACTTCATTTGTGTAAGGATGCTTGCTTATTTCTTGCGAGCGCTAATTTCAGACACAGCACCCGCCGAAGGGTGACTTGGCGCCCACCAGCATCGAACCAGCCTTGGACGCAAATTGATCACATTGCGATAAGTTACCGATGGAGAGGCTGCATCCAGAACTGTCGCTCGATTTGGAGCACATGTGTGGACACCGACCATGCACTTGTGTGTGCTAACATTCGGATGCGTTTTGGCGCACGCCCACGACGACGTTGTGAGCGCATTGACACCAGCAAACTGGCGAAGCCAGCTGTTCCGAATGCTTATCAAAGTACGCTGTCACGCGAGTTGGATAAACGCTCACTGGATGCAATTGAAGCTCACTGGTCTCATATTCACCAGACCTTACTAGCAGCAGGAAAATCCTCATGTGGTATGTCTAATAGTCAATATGGATATTGGGTCTCTTCACAGTCCCTGGAACTTATCGATGCTCGCCGGCATATCTCGGCTGGAAGCGAACACAATGAAACTCGCAAAGAGCTCCGGGCAAAACTCCGTGCTAGCCTGAAGAGAGAGCGCGAATCCTGGTGGTCTCATCGTGCTTCCGAGATGGAAATGGCCGCTGCCCTTGGTAACCATCCGTTTGATACGGGAAACGGGCAGCAGGAGACCTGGTGTTAGTGAAACTATACGTGACGAGTGTGGACAGCCTATCCACAACTTATCAAAACGCTTAGAGCGTTGGGCTGAGCAATTTGAAAGGCAATTTAATCGGTCGGAATGGTTAGATTTCTCGCCGGCCACTGATCGCCCTGCTCCGTGGGCTGTCCCTTTGGATCCACCTTCTCGCTCAGAAGTCGAACGTGAGATCGGACTGTTGAAGTTAAATAAAGCCGCGGGATCTGATGACATTCCTCCATCCCTCTTCAAATGCGGGGGACCTGCTCTTGTGGATGATTTACACGAGTTACTAGTGAAACTGTGGGAGCAGGAAACTGTGCCAACCGATTGGAGCCGCTCCATCATAGTCCCAATTTTCAAAGGAGGCTCACGATCGGAATGCGGCAGCCATAGAGGAATCAGTCTGATCTCCATCGCCTCCAAATAGCTTGCCTCTGTCATCCTTCACAGACTGACTGGCACTCGTGAAAGCCAGATTCGTGAAGAGCAAGCTGGATTTTGTCGAGGTCGTGGCTGCATTGATCACATCTTCACCTTGCGTCAGTTGTTGGAGCACCGCCACATATATTGGCGGCCCACTGTTGTCGTGTTCCTCGATATCAAAGGTGCATTCGATTCGGTGGATAGACATGCACTTTGGGACTGTCTACTCAGGAGAGGTGTACCTGAGAAATATGCGAATATTATCCGAGCATTATATGCTCGTAGCTCGGGCAGAGTGAGGGTTTACGGCAAGTTGTCATTGCCCTTTAGTATCTCCAGCGGCGTGAGATAAGGATACCCGCTGTCACCTTTCCTCTTCAAGTTCGCTATTGACTAAGTCATGGAGATTGCATTTACAGGACATGATTTGGAGGGTGTGGATCTACTCCCAGGAGAACGACTTCTTGACTTAGAGTATGCTGATGATATTGCCCTGATCTGTGACAGCTCATAAACGTGCCAAGCGGCACTGGACAGATTAGCCCTGGCTGTCCGTCACTTCCGGCTTTGCTTTGCACCATCGAAGTGCAAAGCATTTCTCCAAGATTGGTCTGGACCGCCTCCTTCGCTGACCCTTGGTGGGGATCAACTAGAAGTCGTTCAAAAATTCAACTACCTGGGAATTTGTATCAGTGCCCTTGGGATTGAAGATGAAAGCACGAATCGTATAGCAAAAGCACGGGGCGCTTTTGCTAACCTTCGACACTTACGGTGCCGGCGCGACATCACTCTCACCCTGAAGGGTAGTGTACAATGCAGCAGTACGTTCGACCCTACTGTACGGTTGTGAAACCTGGCCGCTTAAAGCAGCTTACCTGAAGAGGCTAGTTACGTTCGACCACCGGTGCCTTCGTAATTTAGCTCACATCTGGTGGGAACACCGCGTGAGTAACGAGCGTGTTCGACGCCTTGTTTATGGCATAGGAAAAGGAACTGAACCGCTCAGCACCGTTATTTCACACATCGGGCTCCGATGGCTCGGCCACGTGTTACGCATGCCAGCCCACCGACTCCCGCGACGTACGTTGTTTGCGGGCCGGGGGTGTGGATGGAAGAAGAGGAGGGGTGGCCAAGCGATGAATTGGTCAAGAGGAATGAAGGCCCTCACTTCTGAGCTGGCCTCGGTTGGAGCGTCTCGGCTCCCTGGTTGGGGTCCGAAAGACGATGAACACGTTTGGTTGGACACACTTGCTGATATTACTAGGAGCCGACCTCAGTGGCGTTCGTGCTGTGAGTTTCTTTGTCCCACCCCATCCCTCTTAGCCTCCCCTTCCAACCACGATCTCATTATTTAACCTTATATAATTTTGCATAGTAATTATTTTTGATGCATAGTAGCCGGCTGGTAGCTTACCGGAACGATGCCCATCCGTTACCGGTAGCTCAGCCGGCTTGCCCCAGTTGAATTCTTTTTCTCTCTCCTTTTTTCTGTGTATTGCGGCACAGTGGCTGAGGTGTTCCCCCACCTCTAGCTAACGTGTATGATGATGTGATGATTTTCGTCGATCTACAAGGTATGGTACTCATTTGTCCTGACTGGTTGACAAATGATTGTTTGCTGTTTTTCTCTCCATTTGCGTTAACGGTGTTTACAATGGAAGAGGACGCAACGGCGGCTTCTTGGTGGACCTTTGCAGCAATCTCTGCATATGTAACCGATGTTCTGGGAGACTTAGTCTCGACAAGAGGTATTTGAGCTACAGGTACCAAGGGTTGGTGTTTGGCTGCTTCATCCTTTTTAATGCTAGATGTCAGGTCTAGTGGAATTTGCTTAACCAGACGTTTTGAATGGTGCCTGATTTTCGTTGCCGTGTGTACTGTTTGATTCAGATAGGTGCAGTCTGTTTTTGCCCGGCGTTCTACCAAAGTTGGAGAAGACAACGGAGATGGAGACGTGGCTGATTGCGGTTCAGGGGAAGCGGATTGTTCAGCATTCCGTTGCTTAGCAGCCGCTACGCTTCTGTGGTCCATACTCGCTTCCATTGAAGTAATCTTATTGTTTATCCTCTGCTCTGCTTCTGTGATTAACCGGTCGCATTTCTCAGCTAGGATAAGCAAGCACTTAACGTGGAGGATGGTGGAACACCCAGTACAGAACCAAAATGCATCATGGAAGCTATTTCGCTCCCGTAACTGTTGTTAGGACACATTTACACATTTCGTATGGTACCATTCCAAACAGCGCGAACAAGCCAGACCGATTTTTACTACCCGATGACCTTCTCCTAACCCGCAAATGCCTTTCGATGGGAGTCTCTTCGGTTTCGCCTTTCTGCCATTCAATTTGGTGTCGTTACCCGACCCAGTGGGTTGGTTAGCGTTCTGTACTTTTACAGGTTTGAGAGCGGCGCACATCGGTCAGGCGAGCGTGGTGGTTGCAAGGTCAAGTGAGCGGTCGGCGTGGTCGCGCGGTCCGTGTGATGGGTTATGCAGCCGCACTGGCTGTCAAGGTCACAAGGAATGGCGAGTGACTGGAACCTGAGCAGAGCGCTGAACACAGATTGACAGATCACAGATTCCTTCACAGCTGTGTTGAGAAACACTGGATCGGAATAAGCTTAGGCTTTTCGGCCTACCTCGAGAATTCTGTATGGAATGGTGTCACACAGAAAGGCAATCGGCTCAATATGATTGAATTAAGCGCTTGCGCTTAATCACAGATGCCAGTGCAAAATGTTAGTGATGGCACAGCCTCTAATCGTAGAAGATATTTCCACGTATGATGGATCACTGTGTAGAGCTGGTAAATCCGGTTCGAATGAGCATACAATGACAACGGTGCGAGAAGATGGAGAGAGGATAGAGGGGAATAATCCAAATGATCCAGGAGCACGCACGTCACGCGTGTGTGAAGATGACATTGAAGGGTAAGTTGCTGGCATATGCTCACAACTTCGCACTTCGCCAGCTTGAACTTGAGCAAGTTATCGGAGGACCACGTATAAGCTGCTCCAGTTCAATGTGGCGAAGTGCAAAGTTGTGAGCGTACGCCATCGGCTTACCCATGAGTATTAACTTGGGGACTAGCAGTTGCAACCTGCTTCCCAGGAATGCATACAAGTTTAGAGATCATGTTCTGCAATCAGATACCCAGGAACGCTACCTTGGGGCGCCAATCCAGGTTGATTTGGGCTGCTCAGAACAATCTGAGAAGACGTCAAAGACTGGACACCAAAATGTTGGCATGCTGCGGAGGGCATTTGGGCGGTGTGATCCCTCTGTCTTTTCGCAGTTGCTTAATAAATACGTGCGGGCTCATGTGGAATTCGCAATCCAGGCATGGTAGCTCTGGCACAAGGAGGACCTCGAAGGGCTCGAGACTCCACAGCGACTAGCCACGAAGGCAAAGGCTGAAGATCCTAAAATTGTCCGATGGCCGGTATCGGCGCTTACTTGGCAATCCTATTAGTACCTACCAGATTTTGAGGAAACGCAACCCAGTCCGCCGCCATCTGCTACAACGCAGTCACAATACGAATTTGAAGTGTCACCAGTTCAAATTGACCACGCAATACTGTCTGCTAAAATGTCGACGGAAATTTTACTCTCTTAGTGTGTGTAAGCCATGGAATGCCCTCCGAAATGACATTGTTTCCGCTCCCACTTTATCTGTGTTTAAAAAACGCCTTGACGTTGCTCTAACCCACCTACATTACGAGATATAGCCTGTGTGTTTCGACACAATAGAATGTGACGAAAGTTGCACAACCAGAATTAACTTTTACTACTGAGTTTGGCTCTTTCTGGATGCCTCTATGTGAACGTTGTGGCGAGTTCACCAAAACGATTTCCATTTTGTCACTTTGTTTTCTATTCACCGTAATGTGATTCTCATTCTGTCCCTCCTACGAGACTTGTTAAGCACCTGCTTTTATGCTCGTAATGTACCATTGTTCCATCGTCACCTCTGGTGGTCACATCAATGAGGAGGTTACTTCATACATCAGAAAGACTCAACCATCTAGGGAGACGGTGAGATATCAACGTGTCAGTGAAAGATGGGGTGTATAATGCTGCGATAAGGCCAGTGTTACTGTATGGATTAGTGACCCGCTCAATTCGCAGTGAAGACATTAAACGCATAGGCATGTTGGACCACCGGTGCTTGCGGAGCATTGTTCACGTCTCGTGGGAACACCGGGTGAACAATACTTGGTTCCGGTAGTCGGTTCTGCTAAGTAGCCTTCTGGTGCCTCACTTGAGTGTTTGCTGAATCTTAATTGCCTACGGTGGCTAGGGCATCTCCTCTGTATCTCCGTTGACAGACTTCCTCGGCGTGCATTGTACACCGTGACTTCAACATGTTGAACAAAACTGCGAGGTGACCAGTCCATGACGTGGCATAGATGCATGGAGAAAATGACCGACAGACTTGCTCAGACTGATGCATATCGTCTTTGCGAATGGGGGCTCCAGCTTAATCCACAACAATGGTTGGAGACTCTATCAGACATGGCACAGTCAGGCAGTCAGCGGTGATCCTGAATTAGTTTTCTTGCATCTGGTTGTTAATTCTC